TTGACTGCCTATCACAGTAAACTGTTATTGTTTTAATTTGTTTTCAAGAAAGCTATTGGTATATCGACCATTTCCAATAGAATGAGCAATTAAGTTATACCTCAATCATTTTCTCTCTATTTTTCATGGGATTCATAGGAGGCTCGGTTAATAAAATCTTGAAGAAGGAATAAGAGTGATTTTTTACAATTGATTCGTTGAACATGATGGAAATTCCATGGAACATGATAGTGGAAAGAATAGCATCCATACCTTGCATTTTTTTGCATCTATTTTCAACTTGTTATCAAATGTATAATTCCAAACATGTTTCATATCATCCCAATTTCGGACAATTCCGTTATCCATAGGATAGTTTATATCCAGCATTGATCGTAATTCACTGGCTTCATCACCAACCATTAAGTCCTATGATGGCCAAAAAAATGGATACATAAACTCAACGAAGGCCAGGCTAAAGAAAAAAATCCAATGAACAGCCTATCCATTCAACATGGATTGTACATAGAAAATAAATTGTACAGACTAATGCCATTGATGAATAACGATATCGCAATCCATTGGCATTGCAAGTTTAGAATATAGCAAGGTGTTTTCGGCCATCTACTGATGCGTGTTAGGACAATCGACGACATGACAGTGTATGCGCGCATACCATACCTTGATTTCGATATTACCAACTTTCGAACTGGAACGAATTAACGGTCGGCCAACAATGGAAGGGAATATATGGGAAGGAAAATTGGAGCCCGCATAACCACATTTAACGAACTAGACAATCAAGTAGAGAAATAAAATAGAGAATGAAAGAAAGAAATAGCCGCCGTTACTTTGCCTATTGGACTGTATGTCTCAAACTAGGCGTGTTTGGTTGTAGCCAATTTATGAGTGCAATGATTTTCAATCGGGAAAATACAAATTCCATCACTGTCTTTCTCCCTCTAACATAATCCATTGACTTACCCCAGTACCGTTGTCACAAACAACGATTTTATTCCCTTTAGCATCCATTGGAATCAATTGAAAAAGCAACAAACGACTTGGCAAGTAAGCGACCAAGTTGCTTCCACTGCAATAAAATGGAGCTCGTCCGCTGGATACCGCAAAACTACGATAGTCCTACTAGTGGTGCCTTGTATATACACAGTGTTGACTAGTTTGACGTGACTGCGAGGTTCCCTTTGGGCCTGGTACTGGCCATCATGGATTCCACCAAGTTTATACCGAAAGTTACCAAACCAGTCTTGCAGTCTATAGTCAGTCATTGGGCTGCAGGCAACAGGCTACAGCAGTCCTTCTTCCGGGGAAGATACAATGCCATAGTCAAGGTGCAGTCCTGGACTACAGTACTAAAAGTACCTTTCGTACGGTAGACCAGGGTACTATACACTGTAAAGGAAGGGGCTCGGAGTACCAATACTAGTCTTAGAAATGCACTCATGGACTACTAAA